AACCAATATAATATACTAGATTAACAGAATAAAGAGAAAATACATAATTATCTAATAGGTGCAGAATAGCATTTGACTAAATCCAACACCTTCTCACGATGAAGCATGCAACAAGGAATAGAAGGAAAATTCTTCAACCTGCTAAAGAGCATCTATAAAAAACCCACAGATGGACATACTTAATGGAAAGACTGAAAGCTTTCCCTAAGATCAAGAGTAAGACAAGAATGTCCACTCTTCCCACTGCTATTCAAGATTGTATTGGAGATTCTAGCCAGAGCAATTAGGCCAAAAAAAAAAAAAAGAAAAGATATAAAAGGCATCTATACTGGGAAGAAAGTAGTAAAACTATTTCTATTTGCAGATTACATGATCTCGCATATAGAAAATTACACATGCACATACACACAAACTATTAGAGCTAATAATTAGAGTTAAGTTAGAGCTAATAAATGAGTTCAGCAAGACTGTAGATCAATATACAAAAAACAGCTGTAGTTCTCTACACTATTGTTGCTAGGTGCTGCTGACCTGGTTCTGACTCATGGCAACCCTACAGAATGAAACCCTGTCCAGTCCTGTACCATTCTTACAATCATCGTTATGCTTGAGCCCATTCTTGTAGCCACTGTGTCAATCCATCCTGCTGAGGGTCTTCCTCTTTTTTATCGACCTTCTACTTTACCAAGCACCATGTCCTTCTCCAGAGACCAGTCTCTCCTGATAACATATCCTAAGTATGTGAGATGAAGAAGTCTAGACATCCTCACTTCTAAGGAGCATTCTAGCTGTACTTCTTCCAAAACAGATTTGTTCATTCTTCTGTAAGTCCTTGGTGTATTGAATGTTCCTCACTAACACCATTAACACCACATTCAAAGCCACCAATTCTTCAGTCTTCCTTATTCATCGTCCAGCTTTCACATGTATATGAGGCAATTGAGAATACTATGGCTTGGGTCAAGTGCACCTTAGTCCTCAAAGTGACATCTCTGCTCTTTAACTCTTTAAAAAGGTCTTTTGCAGCAGATTTGCCCAATGCAATATACCATTTGATTTCTTGATTACTGCTTCCACAGGTATTGACTGTAGATTCAAGTAAAATGAACTCTTTGGCAACTTCAACCTTTTGTCCATTTATCATGATGCTGTTTATGGGTCCATTTGTGAGGATTTTAGTTTTCTTTATGTTGAGGTATAATCCATACTGAAGACTGTAGTCTTTGATATTCATCAGTAAGTACTTCAGGTCATCTTTAATTTCAGTAAGCAAGGTTTTGTCGACTGCATATCGCAGGATGATAATGAGTCTTCCTCCAATCCTGATGCCACTTTCTTCTTCATATAGTGCAGCTTCTTGGGTTATTTGCTCAGCATACAGCCTGAATAAGTATGGTGAAAGGATAAAACCCTGATGCATACCTTTCCTGACTTTAAACTACACAGTATCCCCTTGTTCTGTTCAAACAACTGTCTGTTGGTCTGTGTACAGATTCCACATGAACACAATTAAGTGTTATCCATAATTTGTTATATACACTAGCAATATTCAATCCAAGAATAAAATTAAGAAAACAATTCAATTACAATGTTGGTTATTGTTGTTGTTAGGTGTTGTCAAGTTGGCTCCAACTCATTGCAACCCTACATACAGCAGAACGAAACACTGCCTGGTCCCGTGCCAGCCTCATAATACTCGTTATACCTAAGCCCATCATTGCAGCCACAGTGTCAATCCATCTCAATGATGACTCTCTCCTTTTTTGTTCACCCTCCACTTTACCAAGTATGATATCCTTCTCCACGGAATGGTCCCTTCTGACAACATGACCAAAGTAGGTCAAACGAAGTCTGGCCATTCTCGCTTCCAAGAAGCATTCGAGCTGCACTTCTTCTAGGACAGATTTGTTAGTTCTTTTGTCCAGTCCATGGTACTTTTAGTATTCTTCACCAACACTACAACTCAAAAGCATCAACTATTCATTGGTCTTCCTTATTCACTGTCCAGCTCTCACATGCATACGAGGTGACTGAAAATACCATGGCTTGGGTTAGCTGCCCCTTAGTCTTCAAAGAGACATCTTTGCTCTTCAGCACTTGAAAGAGGTCAATTACAACAGCATCAGAAAAAATAAAATATTTAAGAATAAATTTAACAAAACAAGTACAAGACTTGTACACTGAAAACTACACATTAATGAAAAAAATGAGAAGATCTAAATAGGCATTCTCTGTTCATGGATTGGAAGATGTAATAGTGTTAAGATTGCAATACTCCCCAAATTGATCAACACATTCAATGCATCCCTACTAAAATCCCAGCTGTTTTTACAAAAATTGACAATCTGATCCTAAAATTCATATGGAAATGCAAGGGACCCAGAATAGCCAAAACCACCTTGAAAAAGAACAAAGTTGGAGGACTCAAGTGTCCTGATATCAAAATTTTAGAACTTGTTATAATGCTACAGTAATCAAGACTGTGTGGTACTGGTACAACATAGAAGTATATATATATAGAGAGAGAGAAATATGACAATGAAATAGAATTGAGAGTTCAAAAGTAAACCCTTAGAGTTATGGTAAACTGATTTTCAACAAGGATGCCAAGACAATTCAATATGGAACAGTCTTTGCAACAAATGGAGCTGAGACAACTGGATAGCCATAAGCAAAAGAATGAAGTTGGGCTCCTATCTGACACCATATACAAAAATTAATTCAACATGGATCAAAGACATAAATGTAAGAGCTAAAACAATAAAACTCTTAAAAGAATACATAAGCATAAATTTTCATGACCTTGGATTAGACAATGGCTTCTTAAATACGACACCTAAAGCACAACAAAAGATAAAATATTTAAATTGGACTACATAAAATGGAAAAACTTGGTGCTGCAAAGGAAACTACCAAGAAAGTGGGGAAAAAACACAGCATGGAAGAAAATATTTACAAATAATATTTTCATAAAGGTCTGTTGTTGTTATGTGCCATCAAGTTGGACCTGACTCATAGTGACCCCTCCTTGGATTTCCGAGGCAGTATCACTACGGAAGTAGATTGCCCCATCTTCCTTCTGAGGAGTGGCTGGTGGGTTTGAACCGCCAGCCGTCTGGTTAGGAGGCAAGTGTCTTAGCCACTATGCTACCAGAGCTCCCACATAAAGGTCTAGTATCAAGACTATATAAAGAACTCTTACAACTCAAAAATAAAAAGACAAATAACTCAATTTTAAAATGCACAAAAGACTTGAACATGAATTTCTCCAAAGATATACAAATGGAAAATAAGCAGATGAAAAGACGCTCAACGTCATTAGGAAATGCAAATCAAAAGGACAATGAGACTACTTCATACATACTAAACCAAAAAAAAAAAATGCAAACCCACCACCAACAAGTTGATCCTGACTCATAATAACTATATAGAGCAAAGTACAACTTCCAGGTAGGGTTTCCAAGGCTGTACATCTTTACAGAAGCAGACGCCTCATATTTCTTCTGTGGAGTGCCAGGTGGGTTTGAACTGCCAACCTTGTGGTTAGCAGCTGAATGCTTTTAACCACTTCCCCATCAGAGCTCCTCATACCTACTAGAATAGCTATAATCAAAAAGACAGTAACAAATGTTGGCAAGGATATGGAGAAACTGGAACCTCAAACCCACATTGCTGGTGGGAATATAAAATGACATGGCCACTTTGGAAAACAGTCCAGCAATATTCAAAAATAGTTAAACACAGAGATACTATATGATCCAGCAAATTGATTCCTAAGTATATAACCATGAGAACTGAAAACATAATGTCTGTACAAAAACCTGTACATGAATATTCTTAGGAGCATTATTCAGAATAGCCAAAACATGGAAACAAGCCAAATATCCATCAAATTTGAATGAATAAACAAAATGTGGTATAGCCACACAACTGTAATATTATTCAGCTATGAAAAAGGAATGAAGTACTGGTACATGCTACAACATGAATGAACCTTGAGAACATTATGCCAGGTTAAAGAAGTCAGACAGAAAAAGCCAAATTGTGTATGATTCCATTTATGTGAAAGTCCACAACAGGCAAATCTATAGATACAGAAAGCAGATTAGTGACTGCTTGGGGCTGAGGGGAGATAAAATGGGGTATAACCACTAATGGAATTGGGGTTTCTTCTTGGGACATGAAACTATTCTGGAATTGGATAGTGGTGATGGCTGCACCAGTTCATGAATATACTAAAATCACTCAACTACACTTCTAAAGGGTAAAGGTTACAATATGTGAATTACATGTCAATAAGAAAATAATTAAAAAATATCATAGCCTTTCTCCCACAACAGCCAGATGGTGCTTTAAAATATACACTGGATAAATTTACTCCTCTGCTCAAAACTCTCAGATGGCTTCCCATTTCACTTAGAATAAAATACAAAGTCTTCACCTTAACCTACAAAGGCTTACATAATCTACTTCTCTGAATTCTCCCCTTCTCACTACCCATCTCCCATCTCCACAGCAGCCACACTGACCTCCAGACTTTCAATTAGCATGGCAATCACCCTTCTGCCTCAGGGTCTCTGTTCTCTCCTTAAAAACTCTTCCCTAGAAATCTGCAAGGATGGCCTCATACTGTATTCAAATCTCAACTCAAAGGCCATTTCCTTAAAGAGCCTTCCCTAGCCACCCTACATAAATCAGATCCCCTTCCCTATTTTATTTTCTTTGTAACATTTATTACAGCCTGAGATATGCTAAATGTATATGATTATCTGTTTCTTCTTACTCTACTAGAATGTACGACCCATGGAAAAAAATGGACTTGGTTTTATTATAGCTGTATAATATAAATATTACTATACTATATCTTAAATATCTGGCAACCAGTAGATTCTCAATATGGTCTGTTTAAATAATGAATAAATAAATTTAACAAATTATAAAAGAAGAGAAAGTCATAACAAGTCCTGAGAGGCACTGCCATGTTAATAAGACTCTCTCACCTGTTCCAGGTTATCATAGCGCACGCGGCAATAGCTGCAATAGCCTTGTCTGCTCCGCATATTGAGTAACTGCAGTCAAATGGTTACTATCCTGAAAAAAAAAAAAAAAATGGCCAAAATCACAATAATTTCTTAAGACCATGAGGAAAATGGTTATGATAAACCCACCAGCCACTCCACAGAAGGAAGACTGGGCAATCCAGTTCTATAAAGATTTACCACTTTGGAAACCCATAGGGGGTCACTATGAGTTGGAATCGACTCAATGGCAGTGAGTTCGGGTTTTTTTGTTTTTTTTTTTATCAATATTAAGAGAACAGAAATTCACTCTTGAGACCTACCCACACCTATTGCTAATACTTAGGTATAAAACAGATTAAGGCTGCCATGAGCTGTCAAATCAATCAGTGAGCCTAGAGTAGAGACAGGTAAGCATCTTTTGAAAGAACACTTTGCTGCTAACATTTAAAGCCTACATGACTAAAATTGTGTTAATTAAGTATTGAAGAATATAGTACCAAGTTTGTAAAGAAAAAATGTAATTACTGTATGTATTACCACAAAATGCATCCAGTAAAGATATTACTGGGCTCAAGGAGCTCTGGTGCCACTGTGGTTAAGGAAACAGGCTGCTAAGCAAAAGGTCAGCAGTTTGAACCCAACAACTGCTCTGCAACAGAAAGCTAAGGCAGTCTGCTTCCATAAAGATTTACAACCTTGGAAATCCTTTGGGGGTCGATATGAGTTGGAATCAACTCAAGGACAATGGGTTTGATTTGGGTAAAATAGGGCTTATTAATTTTTCCATCTTATTTCTATATTGGAATCCAAATTATTTCAGTCAGCCATGTCACATGTAACCTCTGATTCTGTCTGGGCATTTTCTGCTTAGTTTACGAAGAGGAAGAGTTTTAAATAATTTATCCAACAAAGTTGCTAAAGTTTGGAATCACAACTAATTTAAATTCTGAGACACAAATATTTCTCTTCTGACACTTACATAAACCAGGTAAGTATGAAAATTCCTCACCACTATCACTGGGCACATTCTTGACTGTTAGAAAATATATAACAGAAAGATTCCATAGTGTGTAGCACTTTTTAATTTTCCTATATAAGATTATTATTCTGCAACTGAAAAAGCTTAATCATTAAAATCAATGACTGAAACAAATGAGATTGTAGCATTAAAACCGGTAACATGAGACTAGAACAGCTTCATAAGTCAAAATGCTGCAACATTCACTTGCCCATTACTTTTTCTTGGGGTAACTTTGATTGTAATTTCCCTCACTTATGGGGAAAGTAAATCAATGAAACCATCCTCTGAAATAAAGAACATATAAGAAATTACTTAAAATTTCATATTCTTTTCCCATTAATTTATTTCATATATTAAACTGAAAAAAACAAACCATTTTAAGTTATATTTATAGATATATTATAAATATTTAAGTAATATTTGTAGTTATATTTTCAGGCTACAAGAGCCCTAGAGCTTAAACCTAAACTTTGAAAATCATAAAATGACAGTTTAGTGCTTTACTGAAATTTAATTAAAACATTCATTGAAGGCAAAATCAAGTATGGGTCTACTATCACAAAACACACACACACACACAAACACCTCTTTAAAAAAAATTAAAAAAATCTTTAACCTTTGTGGCCTGTAATTCCCAAGGTATTTTCACCTTGTCATATAACTGCCACAATGACAATAAGCTCTGAGTCAGAAGAACTTGTTGGTATTTTAAAAAATTCACACGCTAGAATCCCACCTGAAACTTACTGAATCAAAGTTCCCCAAGAGAATCCCAGGCACACGAATATCACGCACATTTAAAATGCTCCAACGTGATTCTGATATGGGTTGATGTGATACTATGACATCATTTTTACCTGTATTAATAAAACCCTTACTCATTAAAAGAATAATTATCTTAGAGTCTAAAATTATCTTATTTTGCATGGCTGAATGGGTCTTCTTATACAAACTCTGAATTCTACTGGTACTTGATATTTTTATAAAGTAATAAATTATTTACCTTAAGCAGAAAAAGGTAGGTATTTCATCAGCAATATTAGTCCTGGCAACATCTGTAAATTAAAATATACAATTTGAAAGAAGATAAACCCAGTAGAAGCATCTACCATTAGTTGAATAAGCAGTTAATGTCATATTTGCTAGAAAAGTGATAGTGATGTTTCCAATAAAAGGAGAAAAGATATTAACTTTTGAACACAAAGAACTTTACACTCTATTACTGAATCCCACATGACCTCCTAAAATGCTGTTGAGCAGACTGGTGGCTCATCTAATCCACCATCAAATACTTCAAATCTCTGGGCTCCAGGAAATAGCTGTAAAACAATGTAAGGGGAACTTGCCTCCAGTAAGGTCAAGAAGTCAGGAAAGCAAGGCAAGGACACAGGGAAAGGGTAACCACAGGGAGGAAGTGGGAGGTCAGATGTTACACAGTGAGGAATGTAACCTGTCACAAAACAAAATGTGTGTGAACTTTTGAATCTAAAGGGAATCTGTTTTATCAAATTTCACCCAAATCACAATAAAAATTTAAAAAAAGTAAAGAAAAAAAAGCAATGATGCTATCAAACCCAAAATAAGCCGTATGAAAAGCTTCTAAAAAAGATAGCTTTATGAAATTAAGTTCAAGTCCTAGACTAACCACCCAACTCTTAGCTTCCATGTTAGTTTTAATGGAAAATAATGTCAATTCTTTATATCTATTTAAGCAGAAATTATCTTTTTTTAAAAAAACCTCTTTACACTATTGTAGGTAATGTGTTGGGAGCTCTGGTAGCATAGTGCCTAAGGCACTTGACTGCTAACCAGAAGGCTGGCAGTTCTAACCCACCAGCCACTCCTGAGAAGGAAGATGGGGCAATCTACTTCCGTAGCGATACTGCCTTAGAAACCCAAGGAAGGTTCGCTATGAGTCGGGTCCGACTCGATAGCACATTAACAACAACAACAGGTAATGTGTTGGCCTTTATCCAGGATCACTGGTTGCCAAAAAATTCCAACACTTAAGACTCAAAGAGCCAGGGACACTGCTATAAAACCAAGGAATAACTATTAAGCATCTACCCTGTGCAGAATTCTATGCTTGAAGTTTAACAGATACAGAGAATTATGAGACAACTGGGGTTGGGAAATTACTGCAAGAAACAGTACCAGGGAGCTCTCGTAGCATAGTGCCTAAGGCATTTGACTACTAACCAGAAGGCTGGCAGTTCAAACCTACCAGCCACTCCCCAGAAGGAAGGATGAACACTCTACTTCCATAATGACACCACCTTGGAAATCCAACGTGGGGTCGCTATGAGTCAGATCAGACTCAACAGCAGTGTTTGGCTTTTTTTTTTTTTTTTAGAATAGTACCAGGTGGTATCTGAGTAATGAATACCTAAGCACAAATAAGAAGTGTTAATGGCTTCAACTGCAAAGTTCAGTTTTAGCTGGGATGACCAAAGATGTCACAGTGGATACGATTTTTTCATTGGAAGACAGGTAGGATTTGCTTACAAAAAAAAAAAAAAAAAAACCTGGAAGGGGTATTCCAAGTAAGAAACAAGCAATGGTACATAGGTACACACACACACACAAAAGCAAGACAAGACAAGGTACATGTGGAGATAGCAAGCGAATGAATTACTATCCCTTAGAGTCAACAAAGACTTAGTCTCGTTCATGCTTTGTAAATTAGGAAAACACACACTTTTTTTCCTTTAACAGTAGCTTTTATTAGTTTTTGATTGCAAAAGTAAAACATGCTTGTTAGAGTGCATTTTAAACACAAATAAAGAAAAGTAGCATGAAATCAGTCATAATCCTACTACTCACTGCTAACATTTGTTACATATTCTTCTTTGCTCTAAACAGTTTTACAAAAATGGACTAGTACTGTATATTCTCTTCTATAACCTGCTTCTTTCACTTAACCATATATATTAAGCACCAATGTGTCCTTCTATATAATTCCAAATAGAATGCTTAATGAGCGCATAGCATTCCATTTTATCAGTGTAAGATAGAAGCCCTCCTACCTGACAAGAACCAAAAGGTGGTAAGTTAACTTTTTTAGAGTCAGTAAAAAGGATGTTTTTAAAAATATCTATACACAAAACTTTAGTATTTTAACTTACACATATAAATGTATACGAAATAAAGTCAGGTTGGGTTTTAGGGTTTTCTTTTGTTGGGGTTGTTTGTGGGTAGGTCTGCTAGAGTGCCACTTTTTTTCATAAACCATATTCATACCGCATCGCCAACAAGTTTCCATTTTCATTTCCCTCAAGCAGAACAGGAATTTTAAAATATTTTCAAAACTGAGGGAACGATAATTGATTTTTAATACTTTTTCCAAACTACTTGATTTTTTCATAAAAATAATAATGCTATAAACAAAAGACAATACTCAAACTCCAACTTCATTGGTTTATGTAACATTTACAAGTGAATAAACCAATTTGGGACCGTCAACAGAGATCTCTGCAATGTTTGAGATGACTTTAGCACAACAAACTCAACAGAAAGTAAGGCGCATTTTTTTCTTTTTAAGGAATATTTCTTGCACATCTAAAATCTGTACCTGTGCAGAGGTAAACATCAATGAAAACACTGTTGAGGTGAGTTTGTAGTTGTAGTATGTTTCTCTGGTTGACTGTAAAGTAGAAATAAGAGCCAACAAAGCCCAGCATACCTATGGGAAATACTGTTCAATTGTCTGGCAAGAAAGGCCCAAGTTAACAGGAAATAATTAAGAAAAGGCAATAGAGGGGCATGTGGTCAACTGGATGCTGCTACTGTGTGCCAGTGAGTCACTTCCTCATTCCAACTAATGCGGACCCTATATGCTAGAGTAGAACTTCCCCATAGGGTTTGCTAGGCTGTAATCTTTATGGAAGGAGCTCTAGTGGTATAATGGTTAAGCACTGCACTGCTAACTGAAAGGCTGGTGGTTGGAACTCACCAGTCACTACCAGCAGGGGGGACTTGTCAATCTATTCCTATAAAGATGACAGCATAGGAAATCTTA